GGTATCGCTTCTCGGCCTTTTGGCTAAGATCAAGTGTAGTATCTGTTCTTATCAGTTTAATATCTGATACGTCCTCTATCCGAGGACAATATATTAAATGGATTTTTGGAGCAGGGAGTTGGAATAGGAGCTTGCTCCGTCCACTCCACGCATCGACCTGGTATTGCAGTACCTCCAGGAACGGTGCACCCCCTCGGGGACACTTATAGAAGTGCCCAAATGCAGAAGTTGGCTCTTTATCATCAGGGATTGGACTATCTCAGTGAGTTACTTTCTGTAAGATTTCTCTGACATCCATTCCAGTACTCTTGCCTGAAAAACCCTAAGAACAAGGGACCTGGTGGGCTGCTGTCCATTGGGTCGCAAAGAGTCAGACACGACAAGCCTGAGTAATTTCACTTTCTTTATACCTTTGCTTTCAAATGAGCCTGACAATTGCAGGGGTAAGAATTAAGGAATTAAGTTCAACGGGCAATACCAAAGCTGAGACTTAAAACTCACTTCCTTCCTTCTTTTCTTTTCTACATTTTTTCTGATGCTAAAACCATGTCTAATTCTTTAAGAGGTTCTCTATTTCATAACCTCATTGAGTGCAGCTCTGTGGGATTCTCTCAAACCTCAAGCTTTCTGAAAGTCAGTTCTTTCTACCCTGCATTCTCAGTCAGGAATGAGATGTTATGTCTCTCCCCAACTGCCTTCTTCTGCTGTCTCTAACATTTCTCCTGTGTAACATGTTTTCTGAACTTCAGGCAGCTTCCAGTGAAAGCCACTGAGATCCACCTGGAGTCTAGGTTAAAAAGATGGGTTTTAAATTCAGTCTGTGTGTTGTTTGTATTGGGATTTCATTTATACAGGTGGCTGACTGATGAGGTCAGTGCCACTGAAGAAGTTGTATTATTACTTAGAAGTTTTTATTACTTAGAAGAGAAGAGGGCCTAAAGTAAGAACCACTGTGTCTTGGATATACAAGGTAGGCTGTTCAGGTCAGCACAAAGTTCAAATCATGTATGAACCAGAACGACTTCCCCATCTTACCTTCTTTCGTCCTTTTCCGTTGATTCCGGCATTCGACCAAGATCTAGCTGGGGCGCTGGTCTAAGTGCACCAGACAAGTGTGGTGAGAAGAGCAGCCGCTGTGGCAGTCTCCCCACGTACCACCGGACAATTGCACTCATCTCCCGAACTAGCAAGGTTATGCTCAAAATCCTCCAAGCTGGTTCTCGGTGAACCGAGAACTTCCAGATGTCCAAACTGAGTTTAGAAAAGACAGAGGAACCAGAGATCAAATTGCCAGCATTCGCTGGATCCTAGAGAAAGCAAGGGAAATCCAGAAAAACCTCTACCTCTGTTTCATTGAGTCGGCTAAAGCCTTTGCTGTGTGGATCATAACAAACCGTGGAAAACTCTCAAAGAGATGGGAATACCAGACCATCTTACCTGTATCCTGAGAGACCTGCATGCGGGTCAAGAAGCAACAGTCAGAACCTTCTATGGAACAACTGACTGGTTCAAAATTGAGAAAGGAGTACGACAGGCTGTTTCTTGTACCCTGTCTGTTTAACTGTTACACAAGCACATCGTGAGAAATGCCGGGCTGGGTGAGCTACAAGAGGGAACCAGGATCGCCAGGAGAAACATCGACAACCTCAGATCTGCGGCTGATGCCACTCTAATGGCAGAGGGGACGAGAAACTAAAGAGCCTCTTGCTGAGGGTGAAGGAGGAGAGTGAAAAGAGCCGGCTTAAAACTCAATATTGGACTTCCTGGTGGCCCGGTGGTTAAGAATCTGCTTGCCAATGCAGGGGACATTTGTTCAATCCCTGGTCCAGGAAGATGCCACAGGCCCTGGGGCAACTAAGCCCCTGTGACACAACTACTGAGCCCGCACTCTAGAGCCCATAAGCCACAAGTGGAGAGTAGTCCGCGCTCCCAACTAGAGAGAACCTACATGTGTCAACAAAGACCCAGCGCAGCCAAAAATAAATACATAAGTGATTTTGAAGAAAAACACCTCAATATTTAGAAGAAAAAACAACAACAGCAACAACAACACTAAGATCATGACATCTGGTCCCATCACTTCCTGGCAAATAGAGGGGGAAAAGGTGGAAGCAGTGACAGATTTCCTCCTCTGGACTCTGAAATCACTGAGGATGGTGACTGCAGCCAGGAAATCAGAAGACGGCTGCTTCTTGGCAGGAAAGCTATGACAAACCTAGACGGTGTGTCAAAAAGCAAAGACATCCCTTTGTCAACAGAGGCCCGTACGGTCAAGGCTACGGTCCTTCCAGGAGTCATGTACGGTTGTGAGAGCCGGACCACAAAGAAGGCAGAGGCCAAAGAACTGATGCTTTGGAACTGTGGTGCAGCAGAAGACTCCTGAGAGTCCCTTGGACTGCGAGGAGATCAAACCAGTCCATCTTAAAGGAAATCCACCCCGAATTCTCCTCGGAAGGACTGGTGCTGAAGCTGAAGCTCCAGTACTATGGCCACCTGATGCGAAGAGCTAACTCCTTGGAAAAGACCCTGATGCTGGGAGAGATTGAAGGCAGAAGGAGTAGAGGGTGACAGAGGATGAGAGGGTTGTGTGGCATCACCTATTCACTGGACATGACCTTGGAAACTTTCTGGGAGATGGTGAGGGACAGAGAACCCTGGTGTGCTGCAGTCCATGGGGTCAAGGAAGAGTCGCACATGACTTGGTGACTGAACAACAGGACCAGTTTCGGGGGTGCGGGGTGTGCGAGGAGGGTTGGGGGAGGGGGCAGAGAGGGATAAGGCCTGGAGCAAGTGGGGTTGTGGGTAAGCGGAGTTAAAAAAGCATGTCCATATTTCTATATGTGTGTGTATGTGTGCGTGTGTGTGTGTGTGTATTTGTATATGACATGTCTGTCTGGTGCTAGATACTCACAAACTCACAACCATCTTGGGACACAGAGGGGCGGGCACCTCTAGCGGCAGAAGGGAGGGGGATGGCTGAAAACGGGCCCACGTTAGGTTATCTTAGAACCGAGCTTCCCACCAGGAGATGACGGCTCAGAGAAGTGTCTGGCAAAGTCACTGTTTCTCCCTAGTGTTTGCTAGTTGAGGGCTGACTCCTGCCAGGCATGTCTAGAGGGGGCCTCAGAGCTAATCTGGCCGGCAGGTTATTAGGGTTCCCTGAGAAGGTGTGAAACAGATCACCCCCGATCCCCATCCTTTTCCTCCCACAGGAGAGAGGGAAAACCCAGGGCAGCATGGAGTCACGGAGCCAGGAGCCGAGGCAGGGTCAGGTGAGGCCGTGACCCCAGCTGCCACCCACCCTTATAGAAACCCTGGTGCTGTGGGCCTGGCGCCAGCAAACCGGTGTGTGTGTCACCAGCAGCCCTGCGCCCCTCCAAAGTCGTCTTCTTCTGCTGGCCTCCCCGCCAGAGGCACCATCAGTGAGCGGGACCTGTGCTCCAGAAGCGGGCGAGGTCTTGGGACACCATGGTCAACCCCACAGGTCAGCTGCCTGCTAGCTGTGTGACCCAGGGCAAGTTTCTTAGCCTCTCTGGTCTCGTGGATCACGACAGTGACACAAGGATGATGACAGCGTCGTCGATCCTCTCTAGGGTGTCCAGTATCCAGGTGGGTGTGATCACAGCAAAGAACGCAGGGCAGTGACTGCCAGGCGGCTGTCCCGTGGGGCCGTCCCCGGGGGGCGGGCGGGGGTCTTTCCCCTCAGGGTTGACAGAACTAGAGCGTTTGTTAGGCGAGGGCCGACCCTGCTGGTCTCACAGACCCTGCAGCTCTCTAGCAGCTGTGCAGAGAACTGAGAAAAGACAAGTGCGCCCGCCTGGCCATGTGAAAGTCGCTCAGTCGTGTCCGACTCTTGGCGACCCCATGGACTGGACCCCATGGAGTCCACCAGGCTCCTCTGTCCGTGGAATTCTTCAGGCCAGAATCCTGGATCAGGTAGCCGTTCTCTTCTGCAGGGGATCTTTCCAACCCAGGGATGGACTCCAGGTCTCCCACGGATCCCTTGCAGGCAGATGTTGCCACCAGGGAAGCCCAAGAATACTGGAGTGGGTAGTCTATCCTTCTCGGGAGGATGTTCCCGACCCAGGAATCGAATCGGGGTTTTCCTGCTGGTGGATTCTTTACCAGCTGAGCTACCATCCCAGGGTCTCAGTTAAAAAGGAGCCCGGCCAGGCCCGTGGGAAGGAGTCGGGTGTCTGGCAGCCTCGGGCTCACGCAGCTCCCCCGGATGCACAGCCACGGCCCCGGGGCTCACTTCAGGCTTCGTGGACCGTTCTGGTCCTGCAGCTCCCGCACCCCAAGCGCAATGCCCCTGCCTTCGGACCAGAGCTGGCACCTGTGATGCATGAGCGGAGCCTGAGGATGCTGGTCACGCCCTCAGGATGGAGGAGGGCGGCTCATGGGAGCCGGCCAGGGAGCCAAAAGAGATGTGAGAATCGACCAGAATGTGGAGAACAAGTTCAGTGTCACTGGTCTGGAGCGGACACCGGCTAGAGAGCCTGGCTAGGTCGCTCAGGGTGAGCCGAATGGAGAGGAGGGGAGGATGGTGGCTGCCTGCCCGAGGGAGCACCACCGCTTTTCCACCTTTAGGCTAAGATCAAGTGTAGTATCTGTTCTTTACCAACGTAATACCGGATACCCCCTCTCTCTGGGAACAGTACCAGTTAAGTGAGTTTTTGGAGCAAGGAGTTGGCGTCGGAGCCTGCAGTGTGTCGCAGCACTTCCCAGGAGTGGTGCACTCCCTCCGAGAACAAAACTGGCACCCCCAAATGGTAGACTTGTTTCTTTCCTGGTTTTTCTCCTTGAGAGATTTCTCTTTTGTGTTTTTCACTTGGACTTCGGTGGGGCCTGTGCAGCTTTTCCCCTGTCTTTGTTTTGTTTTCTTTTAGGCTGATTTTGATTCTTTCAGTTTGATCCAGTTGCTTAGTCGTGCTTCTCCCTGTCCATTTCCTGTGGTGGCCCAAGGAGGAAAGCGCAGGGGAGACCTAGGAGGGCCTTTTTGGAATGCAGGAACAGAAAACAAGACCCTTATCGTCCTTTCCTTCCCCCATGCTGTAAGCACTCATGGATTTCAGGTCCTCGGGAGCAGTAGAACCTGTCTCCCCTCCTATGCCATAGGGAGAAGATATTTGCCTTAGTCTTCCCTCCAACCCACTATATGTGCCTCATCCAATCAGCAAATGACCCACAAGACCCCTATCCCACTCCGTGTACCCTGGGTATAAATGTGGACGAAGGACCCACGTTCAACGTCGGCTCTCTCTTGAGTTGGCCCGCTGTTCCAACAGTGTCTCCCATTTTAATAAACTTTATTTCCCTCTCGTTCTGTCTCATGTCTGGAAATTCCTTTCCAACCTGTGTGCCCGGCGCATGACATTTCCCTGTTCATCACTAACTCCCAGAGCTTGCTCAGACTCATATGGGTGATGCTGTCCGACTAGCTCTCTCATCTTCTATCCTCCCTTTCTCCTCCTGCCTTCAGTCTTTCCCAGCATCAGGGTCTTTTCTAAGGAGTCAATCTTTTGATTCTTTAACCTTTAGGTTTTGTTTGGAAGATCCCCCCACACCCGCCCCGTGTTGTTGTTGTTGTTCTTATCTGCGGACTGGTTTCTGGAACGGTCTTTTCTATTGTGCCAGAGGACTGAGTCGCTCCTGTCTGAACTTTTGGTCTTCTCCCGTGTGCTTTGTACAGAAGGCGCTGTGCTAAACTAGCAGCCAACAGAGATTTTGGAAGCCCCGACACTCAGGTCTGAACCTATGAGGGTGAGTCTCATCAGGCTCCATCCTCCTCTCTCGTGCCTCGCCCCCATCTCTTCTGTCTCCCAAGCGCCTCCACATCTCCTGAAACTCGGTCATCTGCCAAATCTCCCATATATCTGCCGCCGTTTGTTTCTGGTACAGACTCTAATTAGTCCCAGAGAGGATGGCAGACTCATGCCTCAAAATAACCATCCTATTGGGGTCTAGAGGCCAGGTTCTTTCATGGAACCAGAGAGAGGGAAGCGGTGAGGAAGCAACGTACCAAAAAGGCCGAGGAGAGAGGGAGAGGTGGTGAGGAATAAACTAAAAGGGGCCATCAGTCCTGCAAAAACATCTCTTGGAATGGCCAGCCTTGGGGAGGGGATATGCAGATCTCATCTTTCTTGGAGTCGTGCACACAGGTGGGTAGGGTCAGATCAGCCCTCCTGGGAGCCGACCAAAGACACTTTAACAGACGGGCAGAGAGGCAGGGTTCTCTGGGGGCAGGCCATTGTGTATGATGATAATAACAAAGGCAACAGAAACCCAAGGTTGAAGTCCAAGGAACAGATCCAACACGGAGTCAGAATTGGTTCTACCCTGGACGGTTTCCTAGATATGTCTGGTTCACTCACTCGCCCTCCACCCCTCATGTTGCCCCAGCCGACGGTTAGTTGGACGGTGGCCATCCTCTGGCAGAAATACCACCCAGTGTGGCCACGTAAGAGAATAGCTTGGACACCCCCTCCGATGTAGGCGATTGAAGTCAGGTTCCTACAGGTAGCCCTAAGACTGGCTGGGCCCGACCAAACAAATGACAGGCCAGTGACATCCTACCCCGCAAAGGTCTTTCCTCACAGGGAAGGAAAGTTTTCCCTTCTAGAACTACTGTGGGCGGGGGTGTGGGGTGGTGGTGGGGTGGTGTCCAGGGCTCTCACTGCAGTCGTACTTGGGTCCCGGGCACCAGGCACCACCGTCCGGCCGTGGTGAGGCAGGAGGTACCTGCCGCTCCCCACCCCCACCCCCGGGGAAAGCAGTTGGGTCAGATGTGTTCTCTGCTGACCAAAAGCTCCAAGAGGAGAAGGGCAGGGCAATGAGGGCCAGTGCGCTGGGCCCCGCCCAGACCACACATTTCTCTTTCTGGAAGTCGGGACACCTCCCTGACCACACAGGCACAGAACGGCTCCTCGGAGGTCAAAGGGGAGTGATGCGAACAAACACCAGGCTACCCACAAGCCTCTTGGGTAGAATCCACCTTGGCTAAGAGAGGCATGCACACCTGTGGAAGGACCCTGAGATATACCAGATATGGCCTGTGAACCAGGCAGATCCAAATGACCGGCCAAAGGAAACCTGGAGAAATGCCTCATAAAAGCAATTCAAGGGGCTTCCCTGGTGGTCCAGTGGTGACGACTTTGCCTTCCAGCACAGAGGGTGAGGGTTTCATCCCTGGTGGGGGAGCTACGATTCCCACACGCCTTGTGGCCGAAAGATCTAAAAAGTAAACTAAAAAAGTAATTCAGGCCACTACAAGGGCGCGACTCGGGGACTCTCCCTCTGCGTCTGCCCGCGTGCCTATCCACACATAGCGTACTCTTTTCCTCTCGATAAATGCCCCACTAGCTTCACCACTTCCCGTCTCCGTGGGAATTCCTTTCCGCAGAGCCGAAGGGCCAGGGTCCTTGTCACTGACCACGGGTCTAGTGGCTAGGGCCCGGTGCTTTCACCGCCGCGACCCAGCCCCAACCTCCGGCTGGGAACCCAAGCCACTGCAGGCCTAGGTCTCCCAAGATCAATCGGACCAGACTCTCAGGCGGGGCCCAAGTCTCGCTGTACTTCCAAGCTCCACAGGCGTTTCCGAACCAGAAGGGAAGGGGGCAGGGCACAGCTTTTGAAAGAATGGCACAGCCCGAGGACGCAACAAACACTCATTAGGATCACATGGGTCTAAGATGGGCTTCCCTGGTGGCTCAGATGGTAAAAGGAACCTGCCTGCAATGCAGGAGACCGGGTTCGATCCCTGGGTCGGGATGATCCCCCGGAGAAGGGAATGGCTGGCCACTCCAGTATTCTTGCCTCGAGAATCCCATGGACAGAGGAGCCTGGCGGGCTACAGTCCGTGGGGTCTAAGCCGGCAGAGAACTCAACTTCAAGCGGACCTTGATTCTCAAGCAGCAAGCTAAAGGACATATCCAGAGGCGCCATGAGAGTTCCAAGGCACTGTCAAAAGACCAAAAAGTGGGCAGTGGCCCAGTTCCTGGAAACCTCCACCCCTTTCCCCTACTAGTTGGAATGATCCTCCCACTCACTGTCGGTGCCCAGTCGCTCGGTCAGCCCGACTCTTTGGGACCACGGACTGCAGCTCGCCAGGCTTCCCTGTCCTTCACCATCTCCCAGAGCTGGCTCAAACTCACGTCCTTTGAGTGGAGGCCGCCACCGAACCATCTCATCCTCCGTGGTCCCCGACTCCTTCCGCCTTCAGTCTTTCCCAGCATCAGGGACTCTTCCAGTGGGTCAGCTCTTCGCCTCAGGTGGCCAAAGCATTGGAGCTTCAGCTTCAGCCTCAGCCCTTCCAATGAATATTCAGGGTGATCCAATGAATATCAGCTGATCAGCTCGTTGGCCTATGAGATTACCCGGCCCATGAAAGCTAACCACGCCACGTTTGGAGGCCGCCACACTCGCCCTCTGGGATGGCCCACACTCTGCCTATGGAGTGTGTTTCTCTCGGAATCAATCCACTTCTTAGCTATCACTTTGTCTCTCACTGAATTCTTTCTGCGATAGGACGTGGAGAACCTGAGCTTCATCGGGTCTTGAAACCAGGTACGGCGGGCTCTGGCTCGGTCGGAGGCCCAGCCGCGTGGATTGGTGTCCCAGCCTGCGCTTGGCCGTGTTCGAGTCCCGGTCTGAGGTCAAGGGCTTCGCTCCCGCTGCCCGGCGTGCATCCGGAAGCACTGCTCAGACGCCCTCGTGTTCTGACACTGACTTCTCCGAGACAGGGAAAGGGTCCGATGCACTCCCGCCGAGGCCGGTCGAATCGGCGTGGGACGGCCCCAGACCGGTTTTGGGTATAACCCGCCATAGGCACTCTGGTGGACAGTGGGCGGGTGAGGAAACACCGAAGTCGAGGGCTGTGTCACGGACGGGAGTCCACCCAGTCCGGTGGGGAGGCCTGTGGATCCGTCCCGGAAAACGTTGAGCGCAAGCCCCATAGATTCAGGGTCTCATCTTCCCATCCCCCTACCCCCAGATTTGCCCTGCGTGCGGAGACCGAGGACCCCTCCCCCTCCCCCCCCCCCCCCCCACACACACACCCCGCTCTCGCCGTCGCCAGATTCCCCCCCGAAGAGATTGACAGGTCCCATGATGAGGCCTCCCAGGGAGAGCGGGGTGGCTCTCCGCCGCAGACTGAGAGCCAGGAAAGGAGGCCAGGTCGGTGTTCCGATGGCGGTGAGAAGTGGAACACTTCCCTCCGCATCAGTAAACGAGGACGTCACAGTCATCAGCAACTGCGGCGGTCACGGGAAGGTGAGCCGGTGAGCCCCGCGGGCGCTCAGGACTGAGCCATCTAGCGGACATCTAGCGCACATCCCACCGCAGCCACTGCCTCCAGGTGAGCCCCGAGGAAGCCCAGGATGTGAAAACCACAGGGACGGTGGCCCCAGAGAGCCGAGATGCGTGTCAAAGGACTGATTTCCGTGAGCCCAGACTCGAGCATCTCCCCAGGTATAGAAAAGCGCTAAGGTCCTTAA